ACAAGTACACTTGTGCTAAGGTATAACACCTGGGGTTCAACGTTAAATAGCCTCTAAAGCGATGAAAGGCAAAAATGAGAGAACAAAATTAAAAGCTTTGGGATTATTTGAGAGTTCTAGCAGATGGAATATGAGATAATTTAGTATTTATTGCATATAACTATACTATCATTAAATTACACCAAAAATGAAAAATATATTAATATAAATTACTGAATAGAAACAAAATGTAAAACATCAAATTTGCATGTGGAATCATATATTAAACATCATCATTAATAAATTAAGTTGAAATGAAGAGTGCCTAGAAATTAATCGTAAATCATCACTAGCCTCATCTTTTGCATATAACAAAACTAATGACCTATATTAGAACACAGTCCTTATCGACATATTTATATGAATCCGAAGTCACCAGTGTAAGCTGGACTTCCCACTCAATGGATCCTGGTGCTAGCTAATAGAAATTAAATTTCAACTTGAACGTCTAAGACGTCCCTATATGTTTATTTCTTTAAGCTTAAAACAGAAATCCCCTATCCTCCACCAAAACAAAAAAACAACTGCATACAGAAGAGCAATAATACTCAAAAGGAAATGTACGTGTCCAGAAGCATTTCTCTCCTTGCTGTAATTGCATTAATTCAATTTGGATAAAAACAAGTTATCACTATTAAATATTAATAGTCCTTAAGCCTTATACTCGATGTACAAAAGCCAGTTCAGTTATTCTCAATAAGTTCAAAGGCTTGAACATGATAATAAACCATAACTTAAAATGTTGAATAGTTATTCAATTACAACATTATTAAGTTCCTTATATTTAAATTGGAAGGGAGGAGATATCTCACTGCTCCTATTTAGAGGCAATTCAAAATGCCTCCGATTAACATGAGAAAGGCTATGAATATGAACCTCATTCAAATTTGAATTTTGGGTTAAAGATGATGTATATTACTAGTATAGTTCAGTCATCACTTAAAATCACTCCCCAAAAATGTGGAAACAGTATTATTATTTTGGTATTACTACCTTTACCCACCGTGGAAGATTAGAAAGCATGGCCCTGGGCAGAGCAAGGGAATAGGAATCTTAAAGAACAATTATAATTTACCCCATGCAGGTAATTATAAAATTCATATAAAAAACAATGTTTTTTTTTTCATTCTTGAAAGTTTTAATAAAAGAACCACTTCATAATTTTCAATAATAGTAACCATACTCTAAGAACAAAATTCAGTTTTACAAACTATTGACAACACACTGCTAATAAATAGCGTGTGCTCCATAAAATAAACGATCACCTAAAGCTTCAAATTTGGAGCTTTAAATCTGTCGGCAATAGCCATTGATACCATCACTCAGAAGATCTGTCTATAATTGCTTCACTGAGTATCCTCAATATGAAAAGTGACACAGTAACACACAGAACAGATGTCAAAGTCAATGAAACATTAGTAATATCTACTAATAGTTAACTGGACTAGTTTCAGGATTTTACTTAGCTATAAAGAGTCAAGTGATTTTTAAAATGAGCTATTAGTAATTAAATAAGAGTTATAGTAATCAAATAAAAGTGAATACTTTTTAAAAATGTCCCACAGTAATTTCAGTTTTAGCCCAATATCCCCTATTATCTACATCTACA